CTTTTGTGAATTGTTTATATCTATTGATGTAAGCTCCCTTTACATTTTCATAAATTTCTAATATGACATTGAGAATTAATTGAAATTTATTTGTTTATAGTCTGACAACAGATTTACTAAGTATTGCGCAACAGCACAGTGTATTGCACAACAGCAAGAAATCTTTAATTGAATATAAATTCAATTCATATAACCAATTTCAAGTTCTTTGACTACATTTATTCAGAAACCTATAATATGTCAAATATTTAATACAATCCAAATTCAGACCTGTATCAAGCTTGAATATTGTGTCCTTTTTTGCCCCAACTGTTCAGGGTTGGACCTCTGCGGGCGTATCAAGCTGCGCTCAGCGAAGCAGTTTATTCTAGTTTCCAGACAATAACTTGTGTTCAAGTGTATGGATCTCTCTGAAATTGCACTGCAAGGTACCATACCACAAAGGGAAGGCTGGGATTGAGTTTGGGGGTGATGAATCATAAGGGGGTTCAAAAAAATTTGGGGGGGGGGGGATTTTTTTTTCCTTTTTTTTTCTTTAAAATTTTCCATTTTAAATTTGTTATTTCTGATTTATATATAAAAGCAAATAAAAATGATATGGTTTGAATAGGTAAATTAAAAAATTTTAAGTTCTTAGACCACATTCATTCTGTGTCAGAAACCTATGCTGTGTCAAATATTTAATTACAATCCAAATTCAGTGCTGTATCAAGCTTGAATGTTGTGTCCATACTTGCCCCAACTGTTCAGGGTTCGACCTCTGCGGTTGTATCAAGCTGCGCCCCAGCGGAGCATTTTATTAATAACTTGTAAACAGTCGAGATCCCCACCCCTAAACCATATATATTCTTGAATGGGACAATAAAACAAATCAAATGAAATTGAGGGGGAGTCCCCTGGGTCACCCCACCCCCCTTTTTTTTGAAAACTTGTAAACGGTCAAGATCCCCACCCCAAAACCATATATATTCTTGTATGGGACAATAAAACAAATCAAATGAAATATAGGGAAAGTCCATGGGGGTCACCCCACCCCTCTTCTTTTTGAAAACTTGTAAATGGTCTAGATCCCCATCCCTAAACCATATATATTCTTGAATGGGACAATAAAACAAATCAAATGAAATTAAGGGGAAATTCCCTGGGGTAACCCCCACACCCTTCATTTTGAAATCTTGTAAACGGTTAAGATCCCCACGCCGAAACCATATATATTCTTGTATGGGACCATAAAACAAATCAAATGAAATATAAGGCGAGTCCCCTGGGGTCACCCCCACTCCCACTCATGTTTAAGAACTTGTAAACGGTCGAGATCCCCACCCCTAAACCATATATATTCTTGTACGGGACAAAAAATCAAATCATATGCAATAAAGGGAGAGTCCCCTGGGGATCACCCCCTTTTGAGAACTTGTAAACGGTCGAGATCTCCACCCCTTAACCATATAAATTCCTGTTCGTAATTTCAAGAAGATTTGAATTACATACAGGGTATATCCATAGGCGTCACTAATGCATATCATAAACCAATTTGTACTGGACATTGCCTAATGTCAAGCGACAATGGGAATGACGAATTATTGGAGCTTTGTTTGGGAGACTTCGTAACAGCATTCTGTTACAATAATTTCTTGTTACTGATAAGTTTTATAGATTTTGAAATGACATTGTATTAATGATAAATAAAATTTTGGATTTTTTCCTTCTTTTCTTTGGTAAATTGTTTGTAGAATTTTGTGGCAAGTTTGTTTGTTATTCTGTAAAAACTAATTTTCTGAATGCTATATAATTTTTTTTTGATGAAGTAAACTCCTTTAAAAACTAAGCTTATATTGTCTATTAATAAACATATATTTAGATTTCTGATTTTGGGCCCACTTTTCAAGTTGGTTCAAATTGGGGTCCAAAATTAAACTGTGTTTGATTTCAACATAAATTGAATATATATAGGGTTCTTTGAAATGCTTAATCTAAACCTGTATTTCCTTTCATTATTAATAAGATAATACCACATTGAGGTCCAAAGGGTCCTAAATTACACTTTTGATTACATCAAAAATTGAATTCTTTGGTTCATTGATATGCTGATTCTAACAATGTTTGAGTGTTAAATCATATCTAATTTTAGAGAACTTAGTCATCACTGGTTGTTGTTATTATATGATTGATTATAATTTGAAAATTGCATCATATCCAGTTTGAGTTATTTCCCTTTGCACAGAAAATATTATGGATAAAATTAACCTGTGTTTCATTTCATAAATTAAATATATATAGGGTTCTTTCAAATGCTGAATCTAAACCTGTATTTAAATATTAGATTTTTGGGCCCAGTTTTCAAGTTGGTCCAAATCAGGGTCCAAAATTAAACTTTGTTTGATTCAACAAAAAAATAATTGATGGGGTTCTTTGAAATGCTGAATCTAACCATGTATTGAGAGATTTTGGATTGTGGGCTCCTTTTTCAAATTGGTCCACATTGAGGTCCAAAGGGTCTTAAATTAAACTTTTGTCTGAATATATCAAAAATTGAATTCTTGGGGTTCTTTGATATGCTGATTCTAATATGTACTTAGATTTTTGATATTGGACCATAATAGGTATTTAAATGTCCAATTTCAATTATTTCAGTTCTTAAACCACATTCATTTTGTGTCACAAACCTATGCTGTGTCAAATATTCAATCACAATCCAAATTCAGAGCTGTTTTAAGCTTAAATGTAGTGTCCATACTTGCTCAACTGTTCAGGGTTCGACCTCTGCAGGAAAATCCGGTTTGCTGTCACTCTGACAGCCTCTTGTATGAAACTTATATCATTGGTTTATATCAACAATATCTTTGACAAGTTCGAAAATCAGTGCCGATCAATAATTTTTAAAAGAGCTATGCCCCTTGGAAACATTAATTATATGGAAAATTGCATTGTTAGCACTCGCATGTGTACAATTCTTTGAAATATTAATTATAACGGAAATCGCATAGCATTTGCTCTGAAGCCTTCATTTCTCTAAGATATTTATAAAAAGTTTTAAAAAGCAAAAAAAAAATGTTTTTTTAAGTTATTGCCCTTGTACCTTGGATAGATAAAATATGTGCAACGCGGGGGACATCGGAACTCTGTTCTTTTATTCGTTTCGTTTCGTCATTTCATGTTTCGTTTCTTTTTATCATTTCATGTTTCCTTTCCTTTCGTTTTGTCATTTCATTTTTCGTTCCGTTTCGTTCCGTTTGCGTTTCGATTTCTTTTCTCAATTTAGCACAACCCAATGTGATGTCCATTAAAAAGTTCATACACGAAATGACTGTTTGTGTAGATCATGGACAGGACTGATAAAAGTTATGCACAAAAAACAAAGTGTATGAAATTGGGTTGAAAACAAAAACTTACACAACTATCAGAATTATGTATTACCGTCAATGAAACATGTATTGAAAATGTCCATTCTTTCAAATTACTTGGAATTGACATTGATGAAAATTTAAGCTGGGAGGATCATGTTGATCGTATATGCAAGATTATCTCATCTAAAATATCATTTTTGTTTAAAATTAAAGTATATTTGCCTATACACACAAGACATCTTTTTTATAATTCATATATTCTACCATATATAGACTATTGTAGTTCAGTTTGGGGAAATTTATTACAAAAAGATTCAGATAGAATCATAAAACTTCAAAAAAGAGTAGCAAGAATTATACTTGAATGCGATATTTCTGTTCCATCTAATTTTATGTTTTCATCTTTAAAATGGCTATCTTTTACAAAAAGAATAAAATACCAACAATCAATTCTAATGTATAAAATTGTAAATGGACTAACACCTGATTACTTAACAATGCTAAATATTAATGATGTGCAACACCACAACTTACGATCTGTCTCTAATAATGATCTATTTGTTCCAAGACCAAATACAAATTTTTATAAAAAATCTTTTCATTATTCTGCAACAAAGGTATGGAATAATTTACCACTCAAAATAAAAAATTGTCGAAATTTGGAATTATTTAAGAAACATTGTTATAATTATTTTCTTGAAAATTCTATGCAAGTCGAATAATTTGTTTTCTTTCTTTTATTGTAAGAATAAGAAAATTTAATCAAAACTTTACCAATTATTGCCATTTATTGCCATTTGTATGTTTGAATGATTGAATTGTGTATATACTAGTAATATATATTGTATTTTTAATGTATGAATGTATGAATGTTAACTGTATACATGCATTTTGTTTGAGGGCCTCAATGAAAATTAGACTACTTCTAATTGAGTTACCCTCTTTAAATAAAGAATTTATTATATTATTATTATTATTATTATTACTTGATACTCGAAAATATTAGGCAATAAGATCATGTATCAGTGCAGCAACGTTGCTTATTCATGTCAGGATGTGTATCCGCGTCATTTATCAAAGAAATGCACCACTGTGAAATACACGCAACCTCATAAAACAACTGAGCAACTATCGTAACGTTTTGTACACGTGTGTTTAAAGAGTTTCTTTTAGCTACTCCATGTCATTTCATATTCTACCCAAGAAATATATTGTTCAGCTTAATTGCCAATAAAAAGAATAATGGCATTTTATTTTTTGATACTGACTTCATCAATTCTAATAATGTTCAAGGTCAACTAGTCCTAAATATATTCCATTTTTGCTGAACTAGTATACATTATTGTTTAGGGGCCATCTAAATCCCTCTCCTCCAGGTGCGGGATTTTCTCGCTGTGTTGAAGACCCATTGGTGACCTTGGGCTGCTCTTTTGTCGTGTTGCTGTATCTTTGACAAATTCCCCGTTTCCATTCTCAATTTTATTGCTGATAAAGTCAGTGTCAAAATAAAAAATGCCATTATTCTATATACATATTTACACAGCTATTATGACATTCTCATGACAAAGATAAATTATACTGAGTTTTATTTATTATTATAGTCAACTGTAACATTGCTAAATACGTATTAAGTTATTAGTATTATTTATTTAGGCACATCAGATTCTTTCTATGAAGAGGATGAAACTGCAGACTGCTTACTTAGCGGGGAAGCTACCTGTAGCTCTACAGTTTTTCCATTTCCACCGACGGTTTCTGAACAGGAAAACATTGACCCTTCAGAATTTTACCTGAAAGAAATAGAAGGTGAAGATCAGTTACCTTTCACACCTTTCATAAAAGAAGAAGTTAAAATGAAGATAAAACTTCGAAGAATGGCAGAGGGCAAGGATGACATAAATGTTGAATTTAAAAATCCGGAACCTGAACAGGTATTTTTAGTGAAAAGAAAATATATAAGCAAAATATATTAATTTTTCGAGGAGCGTAAAATCAGAAGGACCTATTAATATCATGTAAGGACAAATTTGTATAAATCCTACAAGTTTTTTATACGAACGCAAAAAAAAATTGTGGTCGTATATTGGTATCACGTCGTCGTCGTCGTCGTCGTCGTCGTCGTCCGAAGACACTTGGTTTCCGGACAATAACTTTAGTATTAGTAAATAGAAATCTATGAAATTTAAACACAAGGTTTATAACCACAAAAGGAAGGTTGGGATTGATTTTGGGAGATATTGTTCTAACTGTTTAGGAATTAGGGGCCAAATCAAGCATTTTTCTTGTTTCAGGACAATACTGAAAATTGTATCACAAGGTTCCATACCTCATAAGGAAGGTTGGGATTGATTTTTGGATTATAGTCCTAATTGTTTAGGAGAAAGGGTCCAAAACAATACTTTAATACTTCGTATAAATTGCTTATTTCTTGAACAATTTCAATGGGGTTTAATACAAAGTCTTAAATTCTTGGGGTTTTTATGCCCCAGCCGTAGCGGAGGGGGCATTAAGTTTCACCCTTGTCCGTCTGTACGTCCGTACGCCCCAAAGATGGTTTCCGTTCTCTAACTTTAGTTTGCCTCCACTAAATGTTATGAAACTTATACACAATGCTTATTACCACAAAATACAGATCAGGTTTGAATTTTGGTGGTGTCACTACTGTTCTAGTGTTATGCCCCTTTACAAATGGAAAACTTGTTGATATTTCATTTCCGTTCTCTAACTTAACCAAATGTTGTGAAACTTATACACAATACTTATTACCACAAAACTCAGATCAAATACAAATTTGAGTAGTGTCATTTTTACCGTTCTTCAGTTATGTCCATTTATAACTTTATATGATATGCAAGCAGGGGCATCATTTGTGTCCCATGGACACATTCCCCATTTATTTGATATGCCGAATATAACTGTGTATTTAGATTTTTAATTTTGGGCCTGTTTTCAAATTGGTCTACATTATGGTCCAAATGGTCCAAAATTAAACTTTTTTTGATTTAAACAAAAACTGAATTCTTGGGGTTCTTTGATATGCTGAATATAACTGTGTATTTAGATTTTTGATTTGTGCCCGGTTTTCAAATTGGTCCACATTAAGGACCAAAGGGTTCAAAATTACACTTAGTTGATTTTATCTAAAAAATGAATTCTTGTGGATTTTTGATATGCTGATTCAAATGATGTATTTAGATTTTCGATTTTGGGCCCAGTTTTCAAGTTGGTCCAAATCGGGGTCCAAATCGGGGTCCAAATTTAATCTTTGTTTGATTTTATCAAAACTTGAAAACTTGGGGTTCTTTGCTATGCTGAATCTAACCATGTATTTATATATTGGATATTTGACCATAATAGGTAAATGTCCAATTTTTAAGCTCTTAGACCATATTCATTCTGTGTCAGAAATCTATGCCGTGTCAAATATATTTAGTTACTATCCAAATAGAGATGTACCAAGCTTGCATGTTGTCTCCATTCTTGTCCTAACTGTTCAGGGTTAGCCCTCTGTGGTCGTATCAAGGTACGCCTTGTAGGGCATTTTATTTTATTTGGCAAGTTGGTGCATTGTGTTACATTAGATATGACGTCAACTAACTGATTTTTAAGTAGCATGGTCGTGCCTGGGTCAGAATGATTTTACTTTTTGACATAGGCTTTTTTATTTTTGGCATGATAGTACATCACCTCGAGACGATGTGTTTCAGAACATGGCCTTTGAACTCAAGGTCAACTTGCTGTATCATTCGGCCCCATTTTTATTTTGCAAAGGCTTGTAATATTTCACAAGTTGTTACTTTACCTAAACTTGCTCAAGAAGATGTACTGCGTATCATTTTACATGACCTGTGATGTTTATCTTTGATCTCAACTTCGGATTGACTTTATAAGTGACATTTTCATGTTCTGGCTCAACATTTTTATACGACCGCAAAAAATTTTTTGCGTTCGTATGATGGTATCATGTCGTCGTCGTCGTCCGAAGACACTTTTAGTTTCCGGACAATAACTTTAGTTTAAGTGATTGGATCTCTATGAAATTTTACCAGAAGGTTCAATACCACAAAAGGAAGGTTGAGATTGATTTTGGGGGTTATGGTACCAACAGTTTAGGAATTAGGGGCCAAAAAGGGACCAAAACAAGCATTTTTGTAGTTTCAGGACAATTACTTGTGTTTATGTGTATGGATCTCTCTGAAATTGTACTACAAGGTTCTATACCACAAAGGGAAGTCTGGGATTGAGTTTTGGGGTAATTGCCCCGAACGTTCAGGAATTAGGGGCAAAAAAGGGGAAAAAACAAGCATTTTTATAGTTTCCAGACAATAACTTGTGTTTAAGTGTATGGATCTCTCTGAAGTTGTACTACAAGGTTCCATACCACAAAGGGAAGGCTGGGATTGAGTTTGGGGGTAATTACTCCAAGGGGGGGGGGGGGGGGGTCAAAACGTTTGAGGGGATTTTTTGGGGGGGTTCATACTTTTTTTCAAGATTTTTATACGACCGCAAAAAAATTTTTGTGGTCGTATATTGGTATGACGTTGGCGTCGTCGTCGTCGTCGTCGTCGTCGTCGTCGTCGTCCGGCGTCGTCGTCCGAATACACATTAGTTTTCGCACTCTAACTTTAGTTTAAGTGAATGGATCTCATTGAAATTTTACCATAAGGTTCAATACCACAAAAGGAAGGTGGGGATTGATTTTGGGGGTTATGGTACTAACAGTTAAGGAATTAGGGGCCAAAAGGGGCCAAAAATAAGCATTTTTGTAACTTCCAGACATAACTTGTGTGTAAGTGTATGGATCTCTCTGACATTGTACCACAAGGTTCCATATCACAAAGGGAATGCTGGGATTGATTTTGGGGGTAATTGTCTCCAAATTTTAGGAATTAGGGGCCAAAAAGGGGCAAAAAACAAGCATTTTTCTAGTTTCATGACAATAACTTGTTTGTAAGTGTATGGATCTTTATGAAATTGTACTACAAGGTTCCATATCACAAAGGGAATACTGGGATCGATTTTTGGGGTAATTTCCTCCAAATACTAGGAATTAGGGGCCAAAAAGGGGCAAAAAACAAGCATTTTTCTAGTTTCATGACAATAACTTGTTTGTAAGTGTATGGATCTTTATGAAATTGTACTACAAGGTTCCATATCACAAAGGGAAGGCTGGGATTGATTTTGGGGGTTTTCCCTCAAAATTTTAGTAATTAGGGGCCATAAAAGGGCAAAAAAAACATGCATTTTTCTAGTTTCAGGACAATAACTTGTGTGTAAGTGTATGGATCTTTATGAAATTGTACTGCAAGGTTCCATATCACAAAGGGAAAGCTGGAATTGAGTTTGGGGGTAATTGCCCTAAACGTTTAGGAATTTGGGGCCAAAAAGGGGCCAAAAAACAAGCATTTTTCTAGTTTCCAGACAATAACTTGTGTTCAAGTGTATGAATCTCTCTGAAATTGTACTGCAAGGTACCATACCACAAAGGGAAAGCTGGGATTGAGTTTGGGGGCGATGAATCATAAGGGGGTTCAAAAAATTGGGGGGGGGGGGGGGGGGATTTTTTTTTTCCTTTTTTTTCTTTAACATTTTCCATTTTAAATTGGTTATTTCTGATTTATATATAAAAGCAAATAATAATGATATGGTTTGAATAGGCATACATGTGAACCTCCCGACGGGAGTACAATAATCCCGTTTTCAGGGGTCTCCTCCCCCCTCCCGTTGAAAAAATCCCGTGTATGAAATTTTTCATGAATGAAAAATTTCTGCCCAACATAACATCTCAGGCATCTGGTGTAACTGACATTACCTGAAGTTATATTTTACCTGTAAATCAATTAACATGCATAATTATATGGCTTCACTTGTCAGCTTGGGTGTCAAACATACTGGTAAGCAACGTTTTTTACCTCAGGCTAACTGCCGTTGTGTAACAAAAACTGTGTATTTATTGGGTTACTTCCCTTGATTTATCCTGTTTTAAGTTACTTTCCTTTTATTAATGAAAATTTTTAAAAGAATATAAATAAAATATAAATTGAACAAATAATCATAAAAGGATGGTTATTAAATGATTTTAAATGTCTTAGGACAAATAAAAAAATAATAATTTGGAAATTATTTGAGGATTCTATACTTCCTTTTAAGGCTTAAATTGAAATTTATATAATAACTATGACCCTAACTTTACAGATAGTATGAATTTCTGAGTTTGCAAATAAAAACTATTTGCAAGAGAAAAAAAAAAAAATAAAAACTATTTGCAGACAGCTAAACAAATGTTCTGGTTGCAATGATTGTTTTATAGAATATGAAGTAAAAAATTTAAAGAACATACTGGAAAAAAACAATGTTAGATTGAACATGTAGAATATAAAGATGGAGAAACTTTATAAGTACAAGGGTACTATAAACATAATAAATTGGTTGGAAAGTTGAAGAAAACACACTTTAAAAGACCATTTTTACAGCACACGGTTACATTTACAACAAAATTAATGTCGATTAAAAACCTCCTGATCTGAGTCCTAATCTCCTGACCAAAATTTCCCAATCTCCTGATCTGAGTTTCACAGTCCATCACATGTATGAATAGGTAAATTGAAAATTTTTAAGTTCTTAGACCACTTTCATTCTGTGTCAGAAACCTATGCTGTGTCAAATATTTAATTACAATCCAAATTCAGTGCTGTATCAAGCTTGAATGTTGTGTCAATACTTGCCCCAACTGTTCAGGGTTCGACCTCTGCGGTCGTATCAAGCTGCGCCCCAGCGGAGCATTTTATTCAAAAAAATATTTTTAGGGGGATTTTTTTTTTCATAATTTTTTGGTTTTTTTTCCATAAATATTTTCTATTTTTACATTGATTATTTCTGATTTATATATAAAAGCAAGAAATACTAATATGGCAGGAGATACACACCAAACAGGGTGTGTAAATTATTATATATAATGGATTAACAGTATTGCGCAATATCAAGAAATCTTCAATTGCACAGTATTGCGCAATAGCAAGAAATCTTCAATTGCGCAGTATTGCGCAATAGCAAGAAATCTTCAATTGCTCAGTATTGCGCAATAGCAAGAAATCTTCAATTCTCTGAGCTTCAATTGCACAGTATTGCTCAATAGCACAGTATTGCGCAGTAGCAAGAATTCTTCAATTGAAAATAAATACAAATCTTTTAACCAATTTCAATGGGATTAATTTAAAGTCTTTAATTTTGGGGGGTTCTAACCTTGTATTACTATTTTGGATATTGGGCCCCATTTTTAAATTGGTCTACATTGAGGTCCAAAGGGTCCCCAAATTAAACTTTGTTTGATTTCATCAAAAGCTGAATTATTACGGTTCTATGATATGCTGAATCTTTTTGTGCATTTAGATTTTTTATTTTGGGCCCTGTTTTCACATTAGTCCATATTAAGGTTTGAAGGGTCCAAAATAAACTGTGTTTGATTTCAACTAAATTAAAATTTTGGTGTTTTTTTATTTGTTGAATATGACCATGTTGTTAAATTTTGGATATCAGACCATAATAGGTAAATTAAATGTCCCATTTCAAATTTTTAAGATCTTTGACCACATTTATTTTGTGTCAGAAACCTATATTATGTCAAAAATTTTATCACAATCCAAATTCAGACAGTATCAAGCTTGAATATTGTGTCCAAACTTGCCCCAACTGTTCAGGGTTCGATCTCTGCGGTCGTATCAGGCTACGCTCGGCGAAGCATTTTATTATTAATTTTGACAGAGGCTTTTGACTAAAATGTGGTGTGTACTTCACCACAATACCATTAGAAAAGATCTTTGATAAATGATTTCAAGGTAAACTTTCATTTTAAGATATTTTCTTAACATGAACATATCATGCTGCACCCCTATATTCCCCGTTGATTAACAATATTGAAGGGGAGGTATGTTTAAGATGAATAAAAACAATTAAATTGTTAGGTTCAGTGGTGGATCCAGGGGAGGGGGGGGGGGGGGTTCCGGGGGTTGGGACCCCCCTTTTTTTTACGATCAATGCTTTTGAATGGGGACATATGGTTGGAACCCCCTTTTAAAAATGGCTGTATCCGCCCCTGACTGGTTTTATGTATTTTTCATATAAATTCATAGCGGTGTTTTATTACAGCTGACACAGGATGAGGAGGAGAAAAGAAAAATGCGTAGATCAAAGAACAAAATGGCAGCTCAGAAATGTCGAAATAGGAAGAGAAAACTTACCGAGTCTCTTGAAGACGTAAGTTGTTAAATTTTTTTATCATTCTGTGTTTATGTTTAACGTCCTACACAACTCTTAGTCGGAAGGATCATAATGTTCTTTAAATTTTCATATAAACCATAAACAATGGTAACAATATCAGAAATTATAAATCTGTCTTAAATGTGCACCACGCTATTCGACATCGAAAATTCACGTTTATTTTATGTCTGTATGCTGAATGGTCTGCTAATTAACAGACTTTTACATTTATTTGTTGGTACTAATAAAATATGTAAACACTTAGCCTTGAGTCATGGTCATATTATCGGCATGGCATTCGGCGTAGAGCAAAAAAATGTTCAGTATCATAGTATTGAATAGTTGTTGGATATACACAGTGAATATAACCTTATAGGATCATGAGTTATATATAAAAGTAAGGAATATAAATATTGTTAAGTTCTGAAGAATTGAAATGTTGCATATTTATCATCGGAAATTACATTCAATATGAAAATAGGACGATGTGGTATGATTTCCAATGAGACAACTATCCACCAAAGACCAAACGACGTAAGGAACTATAGATTTCAATACGGTCTTCAACAATGAGCAACTCCCATAGAATGTAGTAGCCTGTAATAGGTCATGGCACAACAAAATGTGAAAAAATACGAACGAGAAAACCAATGGCCTGATTTTTGACAAAACAACAAACGAAAAGCAAATTAAAATGACAGACAGCAACCAACGAGAACCACTGAATTAATGGCTCCAGACTTGGGACAGACAAATACTAAATGTGGTGGGGTAAAAAAAAATTTGTAAACCTAACCTGGGACAGTCGTGTATAACAGTACAACATAAGTATAAACTGTAACAAGTAGTTGGAAGTGGCATGACTTGGCACGAAGCAAAAAATAAAAAATAATATAAAGACAAAAGACAACAGGGTACTTATCTAAGAATACTCACAGTTACTGAAAGCTAGTTCAAAGACAATTGATTACAACGAATAAATACATCATTTTTCTCTCAGACTAAAGTATACCAATCAGTACACATCCAACGGATTTAGTTTAAAGGCGTATAAACAGTCTGAGGAAAATATGACATTTGCAATGCCAAAATATAAGTGCATATTATCGACATATTGCAGAAACATAAGTGTTCATAACTATATATCAGTACATTTTAAGTACATTATTCGTTTATTTAAGGAGACAGAGAAATTGGAAAACAAACAAGAGATGTTGACACAAGAAATCGAGAGACTTCAACAAGAAAAAGAACAATTAGAAGAAATAGTTAAAATTCATAGTACAGTCTGTCCTAAATTGAGATAGTAATGCTTTTCATATTAGCTGGATTAACATCCATCTGGGGGAGGGGGCATTATATGTAATGATTTGGTAAACTTCCGTCCATCTGTCATATTTATCATTTTATTTGCTACTCCATAAAACAGAAATGGACAAATTTCTAGTGAACCTCATATTTGGTTTGTTATATTAGAAAGATTTCGGGACGCGGTGGCGGGAGTTCCGGGACTGAAACATGAATGTTTGTCAGTTATTTACGGACTGAAAATAACGCTTCACAGCATTCCTAAATAATTTCAAAACAGGTGGAAAGATGTTAAAGAATGCACAACAGAGTACTATATGAACCATGCATAATTGATATATAACTAAAAATCCAAACAAATCTGCACAAAAGTGTATTGATTGATTGAATGTTTTTGTTTCACACTGAGCTGCAAATGAAACTATATTAAGGCGATGAGCACTGAAATAAGCGCTCTCAACGAACGATTCTGTAGAGCTGTAGGTTTTTGTTTTGTTTGGAAGTGTTGCACACTCTCATACCTTTGTGCAATTTGTATTTTCAGAGGAGATGTGACATATAAAAAATCCTCTGAATTTAGTTATATATATGTATATATAGATTTTTATTCTTTCTTGAACATAGTATTGTCAGGACAAAATAGAAACCATTGTTCAGATGTACTTAAGAAATTCATTATGGAACACGTACGCTATGGGTGAGAATTTTTTGCTTGACTTAATGAATGAGCGAATGCATTTTCATTTTTATGCCCCGCCTACGGTAGCCCCGCCTACGGTAGTAGGTGGGATTAACTTTTTGTGTGTGTCCATCTGTATGTTAGCCCGTTCCATATCAGGTTAAAGTTGTTGGTAAAGGTAGTTTACCATGAAATTGTGGTCGCATCAACTTAAAGATTTGTACACATGTTTATTGTGAGACCAGTGGCGGATCCAGGTGGGGTGGGGGGGGGGGGGTTCCGGGGGTTGGAAACCCTCCCCCTTTTTTTGACGATCAAAGCTTTTGAATGGGGACATATGGTTGGAACCCCCCTTCTAAAAATGGCTGGATCCGCCCCTGTGAGACGAACTTTTTGAAATTTATGTCAAATTGTGATCCTAATCTAACGGCTCGCAGGGCATGGACACATTCTTGTTATTGATGTGTTTTATTATAAAGTTGATCTTATATGTCTTTATGACCTTGTTATTAGGAATCATGAAATTTGTATTAGTATATAGCTGTATTGTTTCATGTTAATGAATATTTGTGTATATTTGTTTTGTTTGAATTTACTAATAAATATATTTACACCCGACAATTAAGGACATATTTAAGTTTTTGATGAGTTCAAACTGCAATAAAGAGTGGTCTAAGTATTTCAACTACTGTATCACTAGCCTGTCAACACTGCGGTTGTGAGTTCAAACACTGCACGTGACTGGTGTACTAAAAACTCCAATCTTAATTTTTATACGACCGCCAAAAAAATCCGTTTGTATAATGCTATCATGTCGTCGTCGTCGTCCGAAGACACATTTCGTTTCCGGACAATAACTTTAGTTTAAGTGATTGGATCTCTATGAAATTTTACCAGAAGGTTCAATACCACAACAGGAAGGTTGGGATTGATTTTGAGGGTAATGGTACCAACAGTATAGGAATTAGGGGCAAAAAAGGGACCAAAAACAAGCATTTTTCTAGTTTCCAGACAATAACTTGTGTTCATGTGTATGGATCTCTCTGAAATTGTACTACAAGGTTCCATACCACAAAGGGAAGGCTGGGATTGAGTTTGGGGTTATTGCCCTAAACGTTCAGGAATTAGGGGCAAAAAAGGGGAAAAAACAAGCATTTTTCTAGTTTCGAGACAATAACTTGTGTTAAAGTTTATGGAACTCTCTGAAATTGTACATTTTTCCTGAAAAGAAAATAATCCCCAAAATTTCAACAAAAAAATGGGGGGGGGGGGTTCAAATTTTTTTTGGGGGTTCATAATTTCTTTCTTCAAAATTTTTCAAAGTTTCAAATTTTTTTTGGGGGGGGGACAAATTTTATAGGGGGATTTTTTTTATGCCCCCGCCGTAGCGGAGGGGGCATTTAGTTTTACCCTTGTATGTACGTACGTACGCCCGTACGTCCCAAAATTGGTTTCCGTTCTCAAACTTGAGTTTGCCTCAACAAAATGTTACGAAACATATACAATGCTCATTACAACAAAATACAGATCAAGATTGAATTTTGGTAGCGTCACTCTAACCGTTCTAGAGTTATGCCCCTTCATAAATGGAAAAATTGCTAAATTTTTAGTTTCCGTTCTCTAACAAGTTTGCCTCAACCAAACATTATGAAACCTATACACAATACTTATTACCTTTAAACTCAGATCATGTACAAATTTGGGTAGCGTCACTTTTATCGTTCTTGAGTTATGTCCCTTTATAATGTTGTATGCAAGCGGGGGCATCATCTGTGTCCATGGGGACACATTCTCCATTTATTTCATAATTTTTTGGGTTTTTTTCCCGAAAAAAATTTCCATTTTTACATTGATTATTTCTGATTTATATATAAAAGCAAGAAATACTGATATGGCACAGTATTGCGCAATAGCAAGAAATCTTCAATTGAAAATAAAATAATTTTAACCAAAGTCTTTAATGTTTGTTCTTACCTTGTATTACTATTTTGGATATTGGGCCCCATTTTCAAATTGGTCTACATTGAGGTCCAAAGGGTCCAAAATTAAACTTTGTTTGATTTCATCAAAAACTGAATTTTTGCGGCTCTATGATATGTTGAATCTTATTGTGCATTTAGATTTTTATGCCCCCGCCGTAGCGGAGGGGGCATTAAGTTTTACCCTTGTCCGTCTGTACGTCCGTCCTAAAATTGGTTTCCGTTCTCTAACTTTAGTTTGCCTCAACCAAATGATATGAAACTTATACACAATGCTTATTACAACAAAACTCAGATCAAGTACAAATTTGGGTAGTGTCACTTTTACCGTTCTTAAGTTATGTCCCTTTGTAACTTTATATGCAAGAGGGGGCATCATCTGTGTCCCATGGACACATTCCCCATTTATTTATTTTGGGCCCTGTTTTCAAATTAGTCAATATTAAGGTTTGAAGGGTCTAAAATTAAATTTTGTTTAATTTCAACAAAAATTAAATTTTTGGTGTTTTTTAATATGCTGCCGTGTTGTTAGATTTTGGATATCAGACCATACTAGGTAAATTAAATGTCCCATTTCAAATTTTTAAGATCTTTGACCACATTTATTTTGTGTCAAACCTATATTATGTCAAAAATTTGATCATAATCCAAATTCAGACAGTATCAACCTTGAATATTTTGTCCAAACTTGCCCAAGCTGTTCAGGGTTCGACCTCTGCGGTCTCTCAACAATATTCAGGACCGCTTAAAGTTTTTACTATTTAAAACTTTTTGACAATGTCTCACGAGAAATGTGAAATTAATATATTCTCTGGTTTTTATATGACCGCAAAAAAAATTGCGGTCTTATAATGGTATGACGTTGTCGTCGTCGTAGTCGTCTTCCGATGACATATAGCTTCCAGACAATACCTTGAGTATAAGTGTATGGATCTCTATGAAATTGTACCATAAGGTTCCATACCACAAAAGGAAGGTTGGGATTGATTTTGGGGGTTATTGTAATAACTGTTTAGGAACTAGGGCCCAAAAACAAGCACTTTTTATACTACCGCAAAAATTTTGCGGTCGTATATTGGTATCACGTCGTCGTCGTCGTCAGCGTCGTCCGAAGACATTTGGTTTCCGGACAATAACTTTAGTAAATGTAAATAGAAATCTGTGAAATTTAAACACAAGGTTTATTACCACAAAAGGAAGGTTTGGATTGATTTTGGGGGTTATAGTCCTAACAGTTTAGGAATTAGGGGCCAAAAAGGGGCCCAAATAAGCATTTTTTCTAGTTTCCAGACAATAAGTTGTGGAACGGTGTATGGATCTCTCTGAAATTATACCACAAGTTTCCATACCACAAAGGGATGGTTAGGATTGGCTTTGGGGGTTATTTTAAACCGTTTAGGAATTAGGGGCAAAAAAGGGGGGAAAACAAGGGTTTCCTGGTTAAGGTGGTCTTAATTAAAATCCATAGAATTTTTTAATAATTTGTCAACATGTAGTTTTTATCATGCTTTTTTCCAAAATATAATAAAAAGTATGGGTTACCGGACTTTTTTTCACGCTACAGGTTGTGCAAAATTGTCAGATTTCGTATAGATTATGCATGGAAAATCCAATTTTGTGTGATAAAAAGAAAACTACACCATAGAATTTTAAAGGGGCACTAGCTACGAGATATATAAAAAATTAAATTTTTTTTTTTTGTTCAATCATTAATGAAAGTGAAATAGTGAAAAAATGATTCGCTTTAAGCGGCCAATATAGTTCAATTTTGTCAAAATAAGCTAAGAAACATTGATGATGAATTATTCACTTGCAAGTGAATAATTCGACCTCATTTAATCCGTATTCATGTGAACTTAAATTTAACCCCTTAGCTAGAGATTGATAACGCATGCATCGTGCGTGTTGAGTTATTTAAAGGAAAAGAATGTCAGCATTGAAAGTGAAACAAAGGTAAATCATTTGATTGACTGATTCGATCCACAAAACATCATTCTTATACAGGTAAAAACGATGATTAACATATATTTTTAATCTATAATATGAAATTAAACAGACCTAGAAAAATCCAGTTGCGCGAGTCCACTTTTATATTTATAGCTATATTTATGTTTATATCGCTTATATGGCCATCGGAGGTTTTCGGAGGTCAACTCGATAATTAACAAGAAATGATTGTAACAGGATGTTGTTACGAAGTCTCCCAAACGAAGCTCCCATAATTCGTAATTCCCAGGGTCGCCTGACATTGGGCAAAGTCCAGTGAAAATTGGTTTGGTCCAGTAAAGTTATATGCATTAGTGATGCCTGGGGACTAACCCTGTATATCATTCAAATCATCTTGGCATGACAAACCAGAATATATATGGTTTAGGGGTGGGGATCTCTACCATTTACAAGATACTAGAACATTGGGGGTGGGGGGAACCCCTGGGGACTGACCCTATACGTCATTCAAATGTTTGAGACATGACGAACAGGAATAAATATGGTTTAGGGGTGGGGATCTCGACCATTTACAAGATATTAGAACATTGGGGGTGGGGAGGAACCCCTGGGGACTGACCGTATTCGTCATTCAAATGTTCGAGACATGACGAACAGGAATATATGTGGTTTAGGGGTGGGGATCTCGACCATTTACAAGATATTAGAACTTTCTCAAATGGCAGAGGGTCAGGATGACCCCTGGGGACTAACCCTGTATATCATTCAAAACATCTTCGCATGACAAACCAGAATATATATGGTTTAGGGGTGGGGATCTTGACCACTTACAAGATATTAGAACTTTCTTAAATGGCAGGGGGTGGGGGTGACTCCTAGGGACTAACCCTGTATTTCATTTGATGTGCCTTATCATGACAAACCAGAATATATATGGTTTAGGGGTGGGGATCTCGACCATTTACAAGATACTAGAACATTGGGGGTGGGGGAACCCCTGGGGACTGACCCTATACGTCATTCAAATGTTTGAGACATGACGAACAGGAATAAATATGGTTTAGGGGTGGGGATCTTGACCATTTACAAGATATTAGAACATTGGGGGTGGGGAGGAACCCCTGGGGACTGACCGTATTCGTCATTCAAATGTTCGAGACATGACGAACAGGAATATATGTTGTTTAGGGGTGGGGATCTCAACCATTTACAAGATATTAGAACTTTCTCAAATGGCAGAGGGTCAGGATGACCCCTGGGGACTAACCCTGTATATCATTCAAAACATCTTCGCATGACAAACCAGAATATATATGGTTTAGGGGTGGGGATCTTGACCACTTACAAGATATTAGAACTTTCTTAAATGGCAGGGGGTGGGGGTGACTCCTAGGGACTAACCCTGTATTTCATTTGATGTGCTTTATCATGACAAACCAGAATATATATGGTTTAGGGGTGGGGATCTCGACAATTTACAAGATATTAGAACTTTCTCAAATGGCAGGGGGTCGGGATGACCCCTGGGGACTAACCCTGTATATCATTCAAACCATCTTAGCATGACAGACCAGAATATATATGGTTTAGGGGTGGGGACCTTGACCACTTACAAGATATTAGAACTTTCTTAATAGGCATGGGGTGGGGTTGACCCCTGGGGCTTCACCCTGTATTTCATTTCAAGTGCTTTTT